CACACACACACACACACACACACACACACACACACACACACACACACACACGGGAACCTTGACATAAACTTTACAATATTTAATTTTAAAATGTGTTTCCAGTGATTCTTAAATGTCACAGTTAAATCCTAGAAAAAAGCCCCAGAAATTTCAATTAATTAACATTACTTATCAGTTCTCCTTGTGCGGTATATTGTGTACCTGTAACTTGTTTTGACGCTGCTAAATATAAGGCACAAATTTTTGAATATTTCGCAATTACATTTAAAGATGATGACAGTTTATTGGTTACTCCAACACATTTCTCCAATGGGTGTATATAACAGTGTACAACTGTATGTTGACATCTGCACAAACAGTAGTCACATCCTTAGCGTAGAGGCTAAACAATATAAGCAGACAAACTGTGACCTATCAAAATATAGGACTGTAGCCAATTAAGCACACTTCCGGAGAGATTGAATTTGTCAGATTTCTTACTAACACTGAATGTTAAAATGCCTCCAGCCACCAGTGCAAATTTATTGCACTGCTAATTTGTAAACCTTTGAGATTAATGAGCCTCATGCAAGTGACGTTCGTATGAACAAATTCATTCTTAAATTGTTTGCTAGTGGTGGCCTGTGGAGTTTTCTCCAAGGGGGGCTAAAAATTCAAAATAGACATATACCAAAAAACAATCAAACCTATACAAAGTTATCACACCAGTATATTTATAAAGTATATTTATTAAGTATATTATGAATGCCAACAACAAAAAAATGATGAAAACACTATAAAACAAAACATAATTTCATGTTCAGGTTTACTTTTTGTTCATAAGTTTTGCCCTTCTGAGGCTTTATAAATGCATAGCTGTGTTTTGCATTGTCCAATATCGTATCACAAACCTAAAAAAAAAGGGGTTTTATTTTCTGAGAATGTGTTTATTTAAGAGCAACTATGCAAATTAACAAACATCTAGAAAAAGTACACTATATAATATTATTTTCCATGTGAATCCCAGATTGTTCATTCTTCTTTGCCTTTTCTGCCTTGTCTGACACTGGAAAGAATGTTTATACTGACGTTCTCTGTTTAGGCCAAAACCTCTTAACATCTAATTGCGTACAAATCAGCCATTAGAAACCTTGTTATTACCAAGATTCATACTTGACCTTCAGCATGTACTGCTAGGATTATAAGGCCATGAAAAAGGATATATATATATAGGGTAGTACAGCTGATTCTATATTTGACGAGCCAGCCAAAATATTCTATAGAATATTGCTTGTTTTCTTATCTGGAGGCATCTGCAAAAACGGAGCATTGAGGTATCTAAAGCTTTTCTCATTTGTGTTTAGTCGTGTTCACATCTCACGGAGTACTATGGAGTGTCTTCATGGAGAGTTCGATGTGGAGCCAGGAAATGGAGGTGATCGCTGTGACTACTTGAGGGAGAGAGGTATTGAGACCTACCTTGTGGCTATTCCTAAAGGTCCTCTAAAGAAACATGGAATCAGTCCTGTGGTGAGTTAAACATCCAGACATACTGTAGCTAGTATAAAAATAGTTCTATTTTATATAGGCTTTTCCCTTTAAGGCTCTTGCTTGTGGGTTTAACCATTTGCAATCTACGTGAACACTGAACAACTTTATTACATGACCACCTACTGTATGGGCGCTTCTCCGGTCAGTATAAATAAATAAAGACTAGAACATTGACACCCTTTCATTCTTCAGCGACAGACACTAACAAAAAGATGTCCAGCATCAACATTATACATCTGTGCCCCTCTTGCCAGAAGGGCCACATCATGGGGTTTGACCTCCACACTGTCTGTGCAAGGTGTCTCGGTCAGTGGAATGCATGCCTCTCCCTCATGCCCCAGTCATCCTGCCCCTTCTGTGAGCTCCTCCTGTTTGAGGACAAGCAACGGAAAGTAGATAGCTTCACGGTAGACGCCTAGTAGGCTTTTCTCACGGTAGACATCTATCTGCTGGACAATGCAAAGCACTTTTTTTAATGCTGGGCTTGATGATGTAGGTAGCAGCACCCCTCTGCTGCTTCTCAACTGGGGAGCATGATGGCGGAGGAGGTGCAGTTGGGGGAACACTCAGCCGCTTCTGGTCTCCGGCCATCGTCTACCATGCCCCTCCTGGCTGTTGGCACACTCCTCCTGGAGCTGCCAGCGATTTTCCAGAGGGCCGTGAACCATAAAGGTTTGGTTGTGCCATTGCCCCAAATTCTGCGACGATCTGACAGTCTTCTGGTATGTTTCGGTTAAACTCATGTCCATTGCCTGGACCTGATTTGGCCTCAGTAGCCTGCTATCATGACATACCCTGTCAGGTTCAGCAGCTGAGCCCGCCAAGCTAAAGGGGGAAGGATTCTCTGATCGAGGCTTTCCTCCTTTCCCACCAAACACGGTCAGTCGACTGTGGGGTTTTGTGATCGATCTCACCAGTTGACTTTCAGCTTGCTGCAACAATGAACAACATCGCCCACTTGGCCTTCCACCTCTCCAGAACTTCTTAAGAACTGGATCTGCTGGCCGAGATGAAGAGCCAGCTCTGCAGCTCCTCTTACGCCATCCTCAACTTGTCCACGGCCTCAACTGTCTGCTCTGCCTGCATTGCTGCCTGGCAGGCGATGATCCAGCGGAATATCTGGCTCCACCTGTTTTTCTCCATCCAAGAGTATCTGAAGAAGGAGATGCTAGGGAGTCCCATCAGCCTTGGTGTGGCCTTGCTCCTTCTCCTGCGTCTCTCGCTTGTCTGGTGGTTGGCGGCAGGAATTCAGGTGCTTCACGGCTCCTGGACTCTCCCGCTCTGCTCCGCCATCAGCCTCCTCCTCCCGGCAGCAGCAGCCCTTTTCAGCGCAGCAGCCTGCGGCCCAGAGAGGCCATCATCACCCGAGAGGACAGAGGAGACAGCCCAAGAAACGACTCCTTGGGGGGAATGTGTGTGACTATGAATCTGTTAATTGTTTCGAAAAAAACAAAACAAAAAAAAACAGCTGCAACTCCTCTTCCCAACTCCTCACACCAGGGGAGCAGAGGAAACCCGGCCAGTGGCAGCCAGTAGCAAGACAATATTACCCACGCTGATGTCTCTGGTGGTGTAATGTCAAGTAGAGCTGTTCCATTTGAGCAGCTTGCTCACAGAGAAGCTTCTTGCGCTCAATCAGAGCCCGCCGCACTCTCTATTGATGTCTTTTCTCCTCCTCACTCATCACGCAGTGGGAGTGGAGAAATCTCTTTGTCAACACAGCAGACTGCTGTGAGGCGATGTTTTATCCACACTTCCTCTCAGCATGGCCCTGCTACCCCATAGAACCCAGAAGCAAGTCTGCAGGATAAAGCTACAGTGGCGGTATACAGTGGGTGCTGGTTGGAAATGGACACTTCACTCGCGCTCTTCGTGTTTCACGAATTGCGTGAAAAACCTGTGACTACTATAGCCACTAGGTGGCAGTCTGAGTCCATTTCGGCGTCCCATTAACCAGGATTAGATAGCTCAAGGAGCAGACTGGGAGGAATGCTATGTGTTGAGAGCTGATAGCATAGACCGAAGAGTGAGTGGTCTGCGGTGCAAAAGGTTGAGGGTTCGGTCCCAGCTGTGGTTGAGTTTATTATTGTTGCCTTAAATGTTTTTCTATTTTTTTAATCACTTGATGGCCTATGATATCAAAAATTGTACAATAACTTATTTAACTTATTTATATATGTTACGGATACTAGCCTATTATGCTGTTTGACTTTATGGCGTCTTTCTTTTATTTAAATCAGCTGATGTACGCTCCACCTTTCCAAGGAATTACATTAGACCATAGGGATTATCATTCTACAGCCTCAATATCTTACTCTGATAATAATAGGCGTATTGTAATACTATTTTTTTTATTTTTATTATTATTATCATTATTATTATTATTATCTAGCTGGTAAAATTTTCAGTTTGATCTGGAAAAGGACGCTATGATACAACAAGCATTAAAGGCCCAACCCCAAGCTTTTTGGGTACATTATGCAAGAATGTTGCTTGCTGCCCCGATGCAAGCAACATCGCGGGGGTTACGTTCCAAAAAGAACCCGCGATAGGTGAAATCCGTGAAGTAGAAACCTTTTTTTTTTTTTTACAGTTATCATACAATGAAACACTCCATACAACATTGAAATCAAGGAACAAAAAGTTTTTACACGCCCAAGCATTTGTTTAACAAATAAAAGTACGGTATAAACGTTGTTAACTACTGTACTGTACTGTAAAATAATATAGTTATAAATAAATAAGTAAAAACTTTAATCATCAATACGAAATGAAGGGTTAATATGGCGGGGATCAGCACCGCCCCGCCGTGACGAATTGGAACGGGAGAAAATGAAAACTGATTATGAAAAAAAATACTAAGTACAGCAGGACAAATAGTGACTGACATGTACAGTACAGTACAGTATTTCACTGCTGTTCTGACTGAGCCGCTGCATCCTGACTTTTTTTCTCCTAAAGCCTGCGGTGCATGTGTGTGTTTTTGAGAGAAGAACATAGTTATCGGTAGTTGTTGTCGCTCTTTTTTCTTCTGGGCCAAAAGATCCTTATAAACCGACATGCCACCATCGATTATGTTTGACAATAAAGTTTAACAATGCATGATGCAAATCCGTGAAGCAGCGAGACCGTGAAAAGTGAACCATGTTATAGCAAGGGTTCATTGTAATGTAAACTGTGGAGAGTTTCAAATACCTGGGTGTTCACGTCAATAATAAACTGGACTGGACTCATAACACTGACACTCTGTATAAAAAGGGCCAGAGCCGCCTCCACCTCCTGAGGAGGCTGAGGGCCTTTGGAGTCAGCAGGCCCCTCCTTAAAATCTTTTATGACTCTGTGGTGGCCTCAGTCCTCCTCTACGCTGTTGTCTGCTGGGCCCCTGGCAGCTCAGAGCGGGACAGAAAGAGACTGAATAAGCTGGTGAGGAAGGCCACTTCTGTCCTGGGCTGCCTCAATATCTTACTCTGATAATGACAGGTGTATTGTTATACTATTTTGTTATTTTTATTATTATTATCATTATTATTATTATTAACTGTAATGACTTGCAGAGACATAATTTTACCTTCTCCCCTTCTACTGTATTTATGCGAATAATTAAATGCTGTATTTTTATTTGCACTTTACAGTTAAAATGCTAACAACTAAAAAGTTAAATTAGTCAACACACCTGGAAATAGAGTAAAATTTGTGTCATTATTGTTCTTTAAAAAAAAAAAGCACATTGTTTAGATTGGAATTTTATTTAAAAAAAAGTTATCCAGAAATGAATCCCAAAAAAACCTTTAATCCAAAAAAATATATGTAATATATTACAACAACATATTTATTGGTCATTGTTTTCGTCAAGAGTGAGCACTTTTTTAAGCGGGCTTAAAATAGAATGATCTGTTAAAATGTAGCGATTTTAAAAGAATGCAATTGATTAAACTCAATCTGAAAAACAAAAATTAAACACAAATCTTGTGAAAATACAAAATCTGCAAATGAATTGTCTTGACAAATAAAAACATTTGAAAATATAAAAACTGTAAAATAAAAGGAAATAAAATATGACTAAAAAGGATTTCATATTTTTTTTCTATGATTAGGGACTGAAAGCCAAGGTCATAGCCTAGTTCCACTGCATTTAGTTTTTGTCCAAGCCTTATTTTTAGGCTTAGTTTACTGCATTTCTTCATATTAGTTATGTTAGATGCTAATCCGGCCAATAAAACCAGTACAAATCTTTGATATCATTTCTAAAAATTTGCAAAGATGTTCCACTATTTTCCCCGACTGTGCCGTGACACTGAATTTTAGGGCTCCCCCACCTGTAAAAACCCACTTTAACCACTGTACATATGTGTGCAGTACTTGTTTCAATCTTTCTAGGTATTAGGTTGCAAAATATAGGTATTCAAAGAAAATGTCACCTTCTTTATGTACTTATATAATGTAATTTGTGAAAAGATTAGGTAACACTTGTGGCTCTCAGCACGTTTTATTTAGCTGGTCTGACAGCAAAAGTGGCCCTTTGGATAAGGCTGCAGACCCATAGACACTATGGCTTGGCCTTGCAGTCAAAATGGATCACTGTGGAGGCATCATGATTTCACTAGCTCTGGGATCCTGTCTGGGAGAACACTGCATGAAAAGTGAGATTTTCATCCCCGTAAACTCCCTGATTTTTGTCAGTTTCCGACAATTTGCAACCCGCGCTTGTCGCCGTTTGTCAGTGCCACAAATTGTCGG